TATATGGGCGAGAACATTCAGACCACCCCCATTTCCAGAAAGGCCAAGATTGGCCAGAGTCACAATCAGTTGCAGCTCGATTGGGGCCTGCGGACAGTTTGATTGATTCTCGAATAAGTCAGACGATGCGATTTTGTTCAGTAATGTTAAGAAGCTAGACCGATTCATTCGAGCCTAGATATGCAAGTGAAACCAACAATTAGCTTGTAGACAACTTGAAAATTCATATCTGGATAAGCAAACATACAAGGGTTAAAAAGGTTGTATCGTGTGATCCCCAAAATCTGTTGAACATCGTTAGACATGCTTGAGGTTCGCGACGCCTGGATTCGAAGTATCGCTTTTGCTCGATCATGTCAATTGCGAGTGACCATAATCCCGGATTATCGAATAAAGCCAGTGGGTGTTGTTCAGCTTGGCGCGCCGATGATTGGAGCAAACGCTTCGGTCGTCGTTGAAATAGCATCCAGAGAGCCACACAAACATATGGTTCCAGATTGAACACCGATTGAAGTTGAGGAATCTGTAGTAGCTGGAAGAAGGCGGAGAAACCTGAACTTGAGCTGCGGAAACCCTTTCGCTTTCGCGTTAAAACAAGACTGTGAGAGGTATAAGGGTAGTCTAGATTGGCGAGTCGCTTGAACATTCGAATCACTTGTCTTCTGGATGAGACACGTGGCATGATGAGTGAAGTTTGGGTAATTACGGTGGGGTTGTGAAAAACATACTTGTGCAAGATCGGTGCAAGAAATCTTGCACGGATCTTGCGCGGATCTTGCACGTCGGTCTTGCAAATTTCTTGCACAGGTTTGACCACCATAAATGAAATCATCTTGATGAATTTGTATCTGCTACTGTAACATGATCAAAGCACAATGAATCAATATTATCATCAGGTCTAAATATCCAAGAAAGTTTGTATGACAAAACTCACATGGTACATAGCTACAATCCGATTTATTTGTTGTTTTGTAAATTTCACTTCATCGTCATTTCCTAGAAAAATTTGTTGTTGCAGATCTTTTATCCGAGTATGGTGGTTCTGATGTGAAATCGAAGCCAGGGTTTGCTAGTTTGAAGTATTGGGTAGCTAAGAGCTTCGGTTGAATGAACTCAAAACAACTGTAGAGGATTTCTTGTGATAAAAAATTGAATGTTGCAATTGTTTGGAGCGTTCATGGAATTTGAGAGTGTCACACAAATCAATCAACTTCTCTTCAAGTCAGCTTAACACAAGCTCTCTCTGCGCGACCACGTCTGTGGTAAGCTATGTAAATCTTCAAGTCAGATTTGTCTCCAACAAGTCCCACAATCCATGATGATGAACTCTGATGAACCAAATATATGCGTCATTGATTTGCTTGTACGAAATCTAGTGATCATCAAACACATGAAGATATCACAAGATTCTTTGTCTATATGATACATCATGAGAATGAGATTTTCAGATTCTTGATGGCAGGCTTCAATGATCTGGATATCCAGCAGATAAGAGTCATGAACCCCGCAAGCTCCAGGGCCAGGGAATTAGCATACATACAATTGCGTGTAGATAAGATAGGCAAGAGTGGAAATTTATCAATATCACTGTTTGAGCAGCACACAAGTTTGTATAGATTTTTTGAAGATTGTAATATGGATTCTTTATTGCCAGATTTACATATCAAATTTTAAGTGTTTGTGTTATCAGAGTTGCCCAAACAAATGATTTTGAATGAATCAGGATTTCAAGATCAAGCATGAAAAAAACAATGCATTTTCTCATCATCAGGATCTCTTCTGTCTGAAAATTGTGTTGATGAGACCAGTTGGAGTTTTGATTGGATCTACTTGACCCA